CCGGAATTTCGAGGGCTATAGCTTTAGAATTTCTTGTTTTCTGCGGTGCCTTCCATGGTGCCAGTCTGAGTAGCGCTCGTGCTTACAACACCCACATCACAATAAAGAATATACGGCGATATGGCGTGCGGCTCCGAAATAACTACTTTTCTTTTTGTCTTCGTTCGAATTTTAGCTTCGAAGTCGAGACATTCGAGACGCGAAAGAGAACGATGAACTTTAATCCAATTCAAGTTCATTGTTATACCTCTACCAAAATTCAACAATCTGCATGAAGGTGGAAATTATGCTAATTTATGTCAAACATTTCAGTGTTTTTGCACGTTTTTATTGTGTATGTATTCAATTATAATAACAATTGAATTTTATATCATTATTTTGCTGTGTATCTTCATAATGATTCGACATTATTGTAATAGAATGGATTAGGTAGTTACACTTGTAACTGCTACATCTTGCTCTCGACATTCTCAAGCGAATCTCACTGACTCATTGCTCAGAATGCATGCCGATAGCATGCAATCATCACATTAGTCGAGTGTAGAGGCCATTGTTTGATGTGAATACATTGATGCAGCAATCTTTTATTCCATCTCTCAAACAAGCCGTTTTTTCTTTTTCGGATGCAATGTGTTGTCAAGTGTGGTTTTTTGTTTACAGGAGAATTCATAGAAGATGATCCCATTAAACAAACACACAACTATTGACTACTTGACTTCTTATCTAATCTCCTTGCCTTTGAAGAATTTTTTTAATGGTCTGCTTATTGTTGCTTATTATTTAACGATAAATTAAATTGGGCTTTAAACGGTGCTTTCCTGTGTCAAAAACATGTAGGTTGATGGTAGCTAGCAATTTAACTAACTGTGGTTTTATTATATCAATTAAGTGCTTTCTACAACTTCAAAGAACTTCATTTTTTTGTCTAGAGCAAAAACATGAGATAATAATGATTCAGCTTTATCAACAGTCGGAGTAAATTATGTGAGCGTCGATAGCAAATACACTGCCATTTGACGCATTGGAAATTTAATCACGCGTAGAATAACCACTTCATGTAGAAGTACCCGCAAGTCATAGGTAATCTGAATCAACACCTCTGCTGTTTACTCCTTGCCGCATGCGTATATTGGAAATCTTATAACTATAAAGCCCTGCAATATCGCGGTTGTGTGTGGAAATATGATCCACGATTACGAAAATTTAGAGCAGTATTTTATATTAAGCCATAAGTGGTAAACGCGATTTTCAATTTTCTGTTGAAACGTGTAAATTTTGTTCGACGGTGTATTAATTAAGTTTGCCGAGTGGTTTGCTTGAAGGCGTATTTACATAAAGGCGTGTGTTGGAAGCGCGCGCGCGGTGTGTTTGCGCCGTCGGCTTTCGGTGTCAACGACCGGGCGTCGCGGCGCCTAGCCAAACTGGCCGATACATCGTATGCCAGACTAATAGAGCGCCGCGCGGCCATTGTCTTTGCTCCCTTCACCGAAAACAATACAAATACATCCACACAAAACGCGATATTGCTTTATGCGCTGTTTTTTCTTGTGTGTCTCGAGTAGTCGTGAATCGAGGGTGGTCTCTCGCAAATATCCTGCTTCCCGGATTTAATAAAACCGGATCAATACGGGTTTTATTGTCCGCATTTGCTAAATAGGTTTATTAGCAGGATGTTTTTCAGGTCACAGCCTGATCTGAAGTAGATGTAGAGTGGTTGCGATTGCGTGCGCTCAGGCAGCACTCACGAGGAGTGTAAAATAATATCTTCATCATAAATCCGCGATCTGATAAATAAGCTCCAACGTCTATCAGGCGCGTTCACTGCCTTAATAGGGCACTGAAATATAAATTAACCACTTTAAGTGGAAGGCGAGTCAACGACGACGCCGGCCACCGAGTTGATGCGGATTACAACTCGCTAGACACGCTCTGGACCTACATAACACGAATTTGTGGCGAGCTGTCGCGACGCTGACGCTTCTGCTCTGCTACAATAAGTAATCCAAAAGAGATTTAATGTCTTCTCTGGTTGGTCTTGGTCATCACTCAGTCATCACTCATTGCTTACCATTACCGTGTACACACACACACAGACACACACACACACACACACACACACACACACACACACATACATTGAACAAGTCAACGAACTCATTACGCATTACCCTTTTACACTTTACGGCGTGTACTTGGTCTCCTTACACTTTCGAGCTCGACTGGAGATGGAAATGTAGATCTCGCTGTCGATCTGTTTTTATTTATGTTTTTGTATCCATTATGCTCTCTTTTGTCGTGTGGAGTAATGTGGCAATGAAAAGGAACTTCTTGCAAGTCGCACATTTAACGAGACTCTGCCGCTTTTTTCTTCTTTCCTGGCGTTTTCTTTTGTTTGTGACGTCTTTCATTCATTTAATTCTCACATAAATCATCAAATCGTCACGTTTCCAACCGAACGCCACATTTACGAGAATAAAAATGCTCAAACAGGTGTAAATTCATGTCACGTGTTGCATCCTATATTTAAACCACCTTCGACATTACATCCACACTTGACACACCCCGCCTGCAGTAACTTAAAATAACATCTCAGATGTGACCGCCTTTGACATTTACTTTTCGCTGTCGTGTTTTCCCGATTGTCTCGGGGATTTATCTGATGACATTTAGCATTCTAACTGCAACTATAGATAGCTACGAGGGTTTTTTCTTTTTTTTTTGTAGCCGGGTAAGTAGCTACAAAAGAAACGTTTCAACAAGTGCCACATTTGTTTTCTTACATCGTGTTAAGTGAACGCTGGTATTTAGTCGTGCGTGCACTTGAAAAAGTTTGCTTTACTATAATAACGCATTAATAATGCACGCGCACTGGTGTATGATCGATGAATCAATGCAATTATCTTTAATGGCGTATAATAGTCGTGTGCTCGGAGAGGTCGGAGGCGGGTTAGCAAGCGTGCGGCAAATTGTTTGCAGCGTGCTTTTTAAACCGTGTTGGTAAATGCCGGTTTGTGCCGTTTACGCGGATTGCATCTGGCACAATTTTAATAGAAATATAGGTGGGTAGAATTTTTTGCTCTATTTAGCTATAATAAGGTATTTATTTAATTAAAAATTGCTAAAATTTGATAAAAAAAAGTTGGAATTTTTGTATGTATGCATTTAGGTATGTGGTCTACATTTTTTTCGGAATGTACGATTACAAAAACCGCAAGTTTGTACTTGTAAAAAGTATCTTTTTACTCAACGATATATCAATTGGTCTTTTAATTGGATTGAATGTAGTTGTAACTAATATTTTTTGTGAGGGTGAAATTTAATAGCATTTTTATGAGCAGCGGGGCATGTTGGCTTGTAGTACGCAGAAAAGTATGAATAATGCATACGTCGGGCGCGAAGAGAGGGTAAATCCGTTGGTGACGCCACCACGAGCGCCGGGCGAGTTTAATAGAATAACGCAGTAGTAGGAAAACGTGGTCGGATCCCTGGTACGCAACCCACATTCCGAGTTACCCCTGGTAACGACGCGGCGCCCCTACATCGATCGTCCTGCGACTGTTCACTTCCAGCAGGCCAATCGGCGAGCTGATACGGCCATGTGCTCGCGAAACATGTGGACGCGGCCGCACTAGGAAATACCTTGACCTGGATTTTTCGCCAACGCTGTCGAAATTTTCAGCGTTACATTCGCCTAAGCTCCGTCTGCTAATCATATCAACATGTTGTTGTTGAATGATTTCAAGGCGGAACACAAAATAACCCTCGTTGAAGCACTGAAAATAAACTTAATTAGGCACATCCACGCCATGCAATTAAAATTGAGGCCCCACCTCTACGCAGGTTTTTATGGCATTTCGGGGCGCTCCAAGGTTCACGCACGCAAGAAACGTCTCTAATATATCTAAAAATAACTACGCGCGCGTGTGTGTGTGTGTGTGTGTGCGCGCAGTTGTACATACATACAATTTGGGATACGGCATGCACTCGCGGCCCGCAGCATCCATCCATCTATCCATCCATCCAATCGAGGCTTTTAAACATTTCAAGGCAACAACAAATTATATTTCGACCCGAGAGTGGACTAGTCATAGCCGAAACGCAAACAAACACGCCGGCGTTCTGGTGTTGGTTTAGTGATCTCTATTTTTTGCTCTCCTCGGCGACTACAAACACGAACGGTGTACGTGTAAATTGTCTATGATGTAATGCTCTGCCGGCTGTAACTCACGTTTGTATAGCTGCATCAAATTAGAATTAGAATTGGATTCACAATCGTGGCATAACTTATTGCCGGGAGGGTTATCACGATTTCATGTTGTTTTCTCTTACACTTTGCAGAGTGAAAAACGTTTGCGTGTACAATGCGCTAATACTAATTAAATTGTACAAATTGCAAACATAAATATACTTAATGCATTATCTTATGGTGAGCAATAGGCATAAATATTCAAGTAAATACAAAGATAATAAAATTCTCATTAAGATTATCTTGCTCGCTGTGATGCGGCACAACAATCGAACGTTTGTTGTAGTTCATTGCGGTTCATCGTCGATTTTAGATAGTAGTTCTGCTTGAGCTGCGTGTCGAACGTTTGCGGCTGAACTTAAATCAACATTTTATTTCGTAAATAGTGCGAAAAACAAAATATCACCTTTTTTAAATGACGACTAACTGTGCTTGGTAAATATATGTTCATGTCGCGTTCACACTGAATGAAGTACATAGTAAATAATGTCTCATTCAAATATTAACATTAATAGGCCATTGAATGAAGCATGTTCAAAGTCGTCGGCGTTCTTGTTGATTTCATCGTTTATTTAAAGATATCAACTGCAATTTATGATAAAACTCCATTCATGGCGGTGCTAGATTATGTCACCGCACACAGCGATGATGCGCCTACGTGTCGAAGGTCAATTCAATGAACCCGAATGCCCACACGCACACATAAACCACATTTAAATTTCTCGCAATTAACGCATCGCTCGTTTGCTTGCAGGTTACCAAGTTAAATGGCAGACACGAGCCAGGCGGAGCAACCGCCGCACACAAACGGCATCTCCGAAGATGTCGACGAAGATGATAGGGCGAAAATTCGCCCGGCGGATATTGACGCTGACGTGCGCGAGATGGAGCGTCGCAAGCGCGTCGAGAATATTATGAATAGCCGACTCTTCCGCGAGGAGCTAGAGCGGATCATTGAATTGCAGCTGAAGGATGGGTCGGGGACGTCGGGCCTCATGCAGCAGATCTCTGACATGATGGGCGGTGTGTCGAAGAATGCAGGCAACGCGTTTAAAAATTCCAACTGCGTGGTGCCGATCAATGATATTCGTGGCATTGAGGCGATGGGATATGCAAAGGGCGAGAAGATTCTGCGCTGCAAGTTGGCGGCTGTGTACAGACTGATTGATCTGTACGGGTGGACGCAAGGATCCAGCACACTCATCACCGCCAGGTTGAATCAGGACGAGGAGCACTTCCTTGTTAATCCCTATGGTATGCTCTTCCATGAGATGACTGCTTCCGCGCTGATCAAGGCTGATATGCAGGGCCAGATCGTTGAGCAGGGCACGACTAACTTTGGCGTGAATCTGAGCGCGTATTCTTTGCACGCTGCGATTCACGCTGCTCGGCCTGATATTAAATGTATCATTCACGTTCATACACCTTCGGTGGTGGCTGTGTCTGCGTTAAAATGCGGCCTGTTGCCGATCAGTCAGGAATCGGTGGTGATTGGCGAAGTAAGCACGCACGCCTACGTTGGTGCGCTTACTGACTCCGATGAGAAGGAGAAGATTGCGCGCAACTTGGGCCCGAACAACAAGGTGCTGCTGCTGAACAATCAGGGTGCTGTGTGTTGCGGCGAGACTATCGAGGAGGCGTTCTACAACGCGCGCAATACTGTGTTGGCTTCCGAGTCGCAGCTGAAGTTGATGCCGGTTGGCATCGACAATCTGGTGCTGCTTTCCGACGAAGCACGCAAAAAGATCTACGACGCTGCGCATAAAGCTCCGGATAGCTCACCACGTCCAGATCCGCCCTCTGTATTGGAGAATAAGGTGGAGCGCAAATGGCGCGTAGGTGGTGTAGAGTTTGAAGCGTTGATGCGAATGTTGGACAACGCCGGCTTTCGCACCGGCTACATTTATCGTCATCCGCTCGTTAAGGGCGACCCGCCTAAACCTAGGAATGACGTTGAGTTGCCGCCGGCTGTTTCATCTCTTGGTTATTTGCTTGAAGAGGAAGAGCTGTACAAACAAGGGTAAGTTATTGTTATTTCTTTACGTTTGAACATGACATTTTATGCATTTGTTTATTTCCAAAGGCTCTGGAAAAAGATGGAGGGCGGAAGGAAGGGTTTCGACCGCACACGCTGGCTGAACTCGCCCAACGTCTACCAGAAGGTGGAAATTCTTGAGACGGGCACGCCAGACCCGAAGAAAATCACAAAGGTAGAGATAATTAAGTTCGAAGATAAGTAGGTGAAAACACGCACGTTTGCGCGTTGAAAATACTCACAGCCCGAATACTCCTAACAAAACAAACATTTCATCAACATTCCTATTCGTAACAGATAGCGCCTAGCCGATTCCAAATATTGATTTGCTAAAGTTCTCGTTAATTGTAGTCGTGTTGCATTTCTAGGTAATAAACAGTTCTATAACCCCATTAAAAAAAATAACAAGTAAAACTCATTAAAACGAACAGAGCGATATGTAAAGGGTGGTTTTACGACGAAGCAGCCAATATGCAAGGCTTGCTATCGAACTAAACATATAATTTTATTAGAATTGCAGTTTTACGTTGCACAAAGACATAAAACGAAAAGCGAGGGCGTAAAAAATTCTTTTTAAGCGATATATCGCGTGCTTAGTGCATTTATTGTAAATTTTGCTTTTGTTTAAACAGATATTTATCATAACTGTTTCGAGGTTATGCGAAATTCAGAAATATGTCGGTTTGAACTATAAAATTTCGTACACCAGTCATTTCATTATTCGGCAAATCTATGCGAAAGTAAAAATTTCTGTGCGTCGAATCTCAGAGGAATGGATTGCGGGCGGTATGTCGTCGAAAAGCGAGCGAAGATTTCATACCGCGTCATTTTCTGCTCCCGTTAAGTACAACTTTCAGTCTTTTCTTCAATCGTTTGGTTCAAATTCTTGAAATTAGCAACACTAGTCATAGAGATCGTATCAAATGCGTGCGACTGATAAAAGAAAACAATTTTGCCGCTACAAATTTTAGTGCCATTATTTCCATTAGTTAACGCATCACACAGAGTTACACACAGTTTTTAAGTAAAGACATACTGTAATTTAGATAGACTTTAAAAAAATTGAAAATTACATAATTATTAATGCTTTGCTGTGTAACTATTAATAAATATTAACCATGAATAACGTTTTTGGTTTTCTTAAGCTTTTTGAATGGTGTTTGGATTCAAAAAGTTTGGTGTGCCCGTGATGTTTTGTCGTATCTCGTTCTCTAGACATTTGCGTGCCAGTAAAACCAGTACATTAGAGTTTGCTTTAGAACTTTTGACTTGACTAACTCAACTGCGTTTGAAGCGTTTCTGGGAAAACAAGGTACAACAAACGCGCAGGCACACACGACACACTAGCGATGCGCGATTTTCTCGCTGTTTCGATTTCGGCTCTAATGTGCTGGTTTTGCTTTTGCAGTGGGTCGCGGAAGAATCGCCGACTCATTCCAGCACGCCGGTGAAAATCGACTCGGCGTTGCAGTTTGTACCGAAGAACACGAATCCCAAGGAGTTTAAGAAGCTGCAGCAACAGGTAAATATCCCCATTTTGCGTGTGTAAATGTTTGATTATTATTTATGCGTGCGTTGCGTCGGAAAGATTAAAGATTACAGAAGAGCCGACAAGATCAGCGCTGGTCCGCAATCGCAAATCCTCGAAGGTGTTACATGGGAAGAGGCGAAGAAGATGCAGGATGCGGGCGTGACGCAGACCGGTGACCAAGTAGTCCTTATGGGCGCCGCCTCCAAGGGCATTATCCAGCGAGGCTTCCAGCACAACGCCACCATGTACAAGTCTCCATACTCTAAAAATCCATTCGATTCCATCACCGACGAGGACATCAATGAGTATAAGCGTGTCGTCGAGCGAAAAACAAAGGGCGAATGTATGATTAATACTTTCATGACGCAAACTTCACATTCATGATAATTATATTTTTCAGACGACACAGATTATAGTGAATCAGAAGGATTGTCCTCTGCTCAAATCAACAAACGAATTAGCGACATTAGATCTCCAACTAGCGAAACGGAAGAGGAGAGCCGAGACGGTGCGTTAATTAATTGGAATTTCCTCTTTGCCGATATTAATAGCTCGTTTGTTTATTTTTAGAACCTCAAGTATTAAGGATAGAAACGAAACACGCTCCAAAACCGAGCCAACCGGAAGTCGTCCTTAGCGACGGTAAGTGCCTCTTCTCTCATGAATTGTCAAAAAAATTTGTGGTAGTGTTAGGCTGGCACTATCTAATTGTATTTGCTTAGTTTATGTGAAACGCAAGTGATGCAAAGAGGGTAAGTGGTCAATGCAGAAGTTGTTCTGTTAGAGATCACTTTCAATCATTTGAATCATTTCATCATTTTAGAAGTAAAAGTGTGATTGTGTTGCTTCTCAACCATAACTTAACTGCATGATTTTATTTAATTTTAAACGCATGATTGCACAGTTCCGAATGAAGGTTATGGAGACGACGATGTGTTCTATCCAAATCGCGAGTTTACTAACATTGATTTGACATCAAGTCAAGGTAGTTCTGTTTGTTTGCCTAGTAGATTATTGGATTAATTTATTACACAGATTTTTGTTTTGCATGTTAGGTCGTGTCGTCGGCAAACCGCCGACGGATAGTAAGCGTTCCACAATGACAAGCATGAGAAGTAAGTGTCTGAAGGAATTTTCTGCATATATTTGTTTGCTTTTGCTTTTGGAACTTAGACTTTGCTTAGTAACGCTGCCGCTTTATTTGTTTGTGTTGTCCTCAAATCAAAAAATTACAGAATCAGAGCGATTACGATTAATTTACTTTAACATTCAATAAAACGCGCATTTTTGTTTCTTTTCGCACATGCTTAGGTTGCACTAAAAAATGGCAGACTTCATTTCATCGCACGACCAGTTTTTTTGGTTTTCCCAAAGGATCCTACACAACACCGCGTCCCGTGCATTATCACTATGCACAAGAACGAAATGTACCCGTTTTCATCACGCGTCCGCTCGTAAATTCCAATATCAAGCCTGACCAGCCGGCGAATGTTGGTGTAAAAGTCGTGGGCGACATTGCATTAAACGTGGACGTGTCGATGAAGACGATGCGCAATTTTATATATCCGTTTGCTCGCGCGCTCGACCTGATCAACACGCGCAGCGCCGAATCGCAGACAAGTTACGTGAGTACCCACGCAAACACAGATGCGAATTTTGAGCGCAGCATTGTGAAGAAAATGCACGAGAATCTGCTCACAGACTTTGACTCTTCAATAATTACAACGAATAGCTTATTGGATTCGTCTATCTTAAGCGAGTCCAGCGGCGACTCTGTTCAGACTTGCATGATGAACACCTTACCGAAAAACAGATTTAGTGCGGTATTGAAGGAACTTGAGTTAAGTGGACATATTAATCTGGAAGACTCAAATGCAAATTATTTTATCTCTGACATGCTGAAAACTATAATTGATACGATGAATTTGAGTCGACGTTCTGATTCCACGCAGAAACGCCGCTCCTCTACTGGTTCGATGTCAACGCATTCATTTTACGAAAGCGAAACTTCGCCAAGACAATGCCTCTCCTACGAAGACCTTACCGACGGCGAGTACCGTTTTATTCAAGGACCTTCTTTTAATGACATACCAAAATCACTGCACAGGAATTTTTACGTGGATTCACCCCGATTCAATCCTCTGCCTCTGTCACCGTTGTGCGTAGTTAATGAAAAACAAACACAAGTTTACGAACATACAAAAAACGTAGGTACATCCCCCAGCGTTAGTCAGTCACACGAATGGTCCTTGAAAACTTTTGAAGGCAAAGTTAACGCTATTCAATCAATTGCCAGTGTTCCATATACGGACGTCATCAAAAAGCAGACTCTTGATGACAACATCAAATCGAGCAATTCCAACGATAGCAGAAAATCGGATAAATCTGATTCAGAACTGGATAATGCATATTCGACGTATATGGTGCGCAATCTTGTAGATCTCATTCGCGAAGAACGCAAAATTGAAGGCGATAATGAAACTGAACTGGACAATGCCAGGCGTCGCATCCACTTGCAACATTTTCCGCATTATTTTTGCCCTTCACAGGACGCGCGTTGTATGCCGACTATACCCAGCGATGAAATGCTTGTCAATAGCCATGAGTCAACTGAGAACATGTCTGCTTTGAATGTAGACATGAATCTAATGAAACATTTAGCTGAAAATGCATCTTCTGAAGTGGACGAATGTATGAATTTGTTTTTTAGCTCTGCATATAACGATGTGGATTCGATTGTAGAGGACATTCTTATCCGGGCAACGAATGAAAAGGGATTTGAAGGCGCCGAAGAAAATTCACCCACGTCTTCAGGTGTAACGGACGATACGGTTAATCCCTTTGAGATTGATTTTCAAAAAGGTCCTGAGCTGATATTTAACTTTGAGCTACCTATTCATAGCGACGACTCTGGTTGTGATCAGTCGATTACAGAGATAGCTCATATCTTGGACCAAGAAATTGAGTGCTTTTCCCGAGGCAAACAAAGTGATAATTCATTCTATACAGCTTTAAGTAATAATAACGGTTCGCCGGAGTCAGCCGCGTTTCAAACCGCAGATTCGTATGGAAGTTACACAAATGTTCGAAAGGACATTGTCAATCAAATGAGTGATTTAATAATTTATTATATGCGTAAAAGCTGCTTGCACACTGATGAAGTGGTACTTTTCCCAGAAGTCCAGCATGACGAGAATGTGTCAACGTTGTTTGCAAAGCTTGAGAATCTTTTCAACGAGTACTTTAAACATAGCTTAAGTGCAGAGGAAGTCAGCGAATTGCGCATCGAATTGGGACTTCTTGTTTTGCGCTGTACAAACCACGAGTTTGATATTACAAACATGGAACGCACGTTTGCCATCAGTGAATTTGTCTCAGATCTGTTGGATTATTTCTTTGAGAAGGTCGTGAACTTGGAAACTCATTCGCCCTGTACGGAGTATGAGAACTTTCATAATGGCGTAGTAGACCAACTGAATTCAACTCCTGACGATCGAGATGAACAGGCTGAATGCGAGACGGAGGAAATGGCTAGTTTCCAGTTGAAACAACAACGTGGCAACGAGTGTTACTGGTTTTCAGCCCTTAAACCATCGGAGCGTTCGATTCTCTCCAAATCACAAACAGACACTCCCCGAGTTATCATCAATGTGGACGAGATCCCTTTGAGACCGCCGCCTGATTTGAATCAAAGTCTTTCATGCAGGCAATTTTATCAATGTCTTAGTCCAATCCAAGAAATTGTTCCGACGTGTTTAACATTTGACGAAGATGAAATTTTCGCCGAAGAAACTGTGGATATTCGCTATGAGGAAGCCCCAGCAGATTTGGAAGCAGTGGAATCTTTGTTTACTGCTTCCGACGATGCACTTCTTAAAGGCACAAATCTCGAAACGCGGTCATCGACAGAAATGTCGACGTCGTCGTCGCACAGTCAGGAGTTAGTCGGAGCAGCACTGTGCGAAGAATTGCAAAAGATTGTTCCCGACTTTGATAAAGAATCAACATTTCGGCTCACCAACGAAGTACATTTTTTGCGCTCCCATTCAACTCTTGCATCGAATACGTTTTCAACCACAACTAGTGTCGTTTTTAACACGGACGCGAATCAGCAACGTCATCTGAACACCACGTTTTCGAAGGATTCGTTTGAGACGTGTGAACCAGACGATGATCATTTAATAGCGTTAACAGACAATTGGTTGGGATTGGAAAAAGCCAAGTTTTAAATATTGAATCGTTTTTCATAATACACTCCTTAATCATTTAAATTTGCTTGTGAAATTTTCATTAATAATAATTTAATTATTGCATCATTTTTTTGTGGTTGCGTTTTTGGGGCATGGTTTGGGTTTTTATTTATTTTTTTACTTTGCTACTTATCATTAATAATGTCCAGGTAAATATAAGCTATATATTTTTTATTTGATTTAAATATATTACAATATGTTACCTGCTAGTTCTATAAGCATTTGTTTGATTTGATTATGTATTTTATAGGTGAGAATACCGTCAATGGTGATCATTCAGATGCGCACATGAGCACATTATCGCAGAGCAGCAGAGAGGTAATTATATTTTTGACCAACACATCTTGAACTGTGTTCTAATCGTTGATTTATTTGTATTACAGGACCGTTCGGTATCGGAAGGATCGCCCAAAAAGGACAAGAAGAAGAAGAAGGGCCTGCGAACGCCGTCCTTCTTGAAGAAGAAGAAAGACAAGAAGCGGACCGAGGCATAAGCTAGAACAGTTTTGTTGTTAGTAGCCTAGCCTAGCGCCGCCGTACACATTTTTAAATGTTCATAATCGATATAAATACATAACTCTTAAAGAAAGCAAACGCAAAAAGCGTAGCAGACGCGCTTTGAGGAACTGGGAAATAATCATCACATACAAGACACGAACTTAACGCAAATACGCGCGAGTGTTGAACGAAACACTGCCTATTTATCTAATAGTTAAGGTACGATCGCAATGAGAAACAAAACAACACACATAAAAAAAGTAAAATAATCTTCGTAAACCACCTCCGTCGAGACTGCCAGCTTTGAAACGATTTCGCACTAGATGAGTACACACGAACATTTTCAATATTTCGACGAGCATTATAAGTAATTACGAATAATAATGAGATATATTAGATAAGAGATAAACATTTACTATTTCAACAAACAAATTAACTATATTATCGATTCTTTTCTTTAGCTTTATTTGTACAGAAAACCAACTTTTTTGAAGATTATAACTACTGTTAATTATAAGAATTATAGAATGAAAAAAGGTATATTAAAGTGCGCATAAGGATTGAGTACGGGCGTATGAGGAACGCTTTGTTTGACAATGTTTAAAGGGCTATAAACACACTTTGAAATGAAACTAAAAGAGACTACATATGTGTATGTAATATTACGATGCCCCGCCGGAAGATACACAGCAATTTATGTATAAATTTATAAATTTTAGCAATTGACGCTTTATTATTACAAACATTCATTTTAACTTGCGAACATATTGAAATTCTGACGATTGTGACGAAGCATTTGCAAGAAAATATAATCTATTCAACAATGACCAACGTTTATGAACACGCAGAGAATCACACATTTCTGTTGTTATTCGTTTTGTGGCTGAGTTGTTTTCGCTTTTTTGAAGATGTAAATTTTTGACACGAACGAGCAGTTCACTTTGTTTATGCTTTACGCTAGTGTGTGCGTTTTATTTGGAAGCCATGTTCGGTGAATGCGACGTTTTGTACTAAAATTTACTCGTAAACAATTAAAAATAAGCAAGTGCATAATAATATTGATCAATGTGCAATGTTTTGTGCGACGCTTTTCTCTTCGAGCGGACATTTGAAAAAAAGATTAATATATTCTAAAGATATTATTTTTTAAAGAGTAAAAGCAAAGCTATACGTGAAGGAAAATTACTGTAATATTATCGAAAGAAGCTGGATGCAACAATATATCCGTTAAATCATGATCGACTATCTTTATCTCTCAGCGGAATCAGCTGAGAATAGTGAAGATACATACATGAACTGATAGCAAATTTGTGTCTCCGCATTGCAGTCCTAGTCATTCTTGTTAATATTATCGAGACAAAGTGAACGATTCATATTCATTCGCATGTTACTAATCGCATGATTGAATAACTGCAATAACAATTCATTGATATAATATTTTAACATCGACAAGAATGTTGTAGGATTTAGGCTGCAGAGAGAAACGTGGAATTAACATGTACGAGGCAAAATGGAAATAAGAAAATCGATAGTGACAATTTTGTGCGTTTCATAACTTAAATTATCTTTTGTGCATAGAAAATGAATGAATTGATTTTTATTTATAGGATTTATTTTTATCACACAGCTAATATAATAAATTATGTTATTATAACGACAATGATCATCTTAACAAGCACATCATTTACTTTTTACTACTTACAATTATCGTTGTGCAACGTATTAGAGCAATTAGTTAATTGAGAAGGTAAGTGAGGGTAACTATTCATCTTGATTTTGATTAATATAAACCATTACGAAGGAGTACGCCAATTTATACACCTAAAATAGTTCAGGTGAAGAAATTTACATGCTGAAAAGTGTCGAACTATAATTAAGTACTTACATTCAGCACAGTTTTATTAGAATACATGGCGTAATCGCCCAGAGGTACAATGAATCCTCTTGTTGAGTTTATATTCATTAACATTAAGCATTTTACACTTTTAACATCTCCATCCCAAGGGCAAGCGTAAAACGTAGAATCTCTTAGCTTTTCACCCTTAAAATCGAAACAAGTTTTATTTATTTAAAGCTTGTTCTAGATGTGACATACAATTTCTACAATTTTCTCTCCGATTGCGCCCAAAATAATAGTGGCGACAGCATAATACAACACAGCACTAATTGCATAAACGTCATATTTCTGAAAATTTATAGTTCAGATTTAATTTGTAGTCCCGTATATTCGGAAGTTCTACTTACAACTAAAAACGCTATTATAGAAAATGATAACGTCACTCCGCCTCCAACAACTTGCAACAATAGAGGCCATTTGAATGTCCGAATAACCACCAGCCATATACTGTAAAGTGCAAAGCATTGATGGAATAAAACATTTTTAGAAAATATGTAAATATTACCGCATCATATACATGTGTTGCTTGTACGCGCAGATAATTTTACGTTGTCGTACACTTTTAATCATTGTTAGTTGAGCATCATTTAAAGTTGATATAAGAACATCGACTGATATCTCCATGTATACCGTGAAACTGTACAACAAAATTACGCACACAGCTGCACCCGTTGCGCTGTACATAATACACACGGATGTGCAGATATTATACACAATTTGATATGGTTTTTGAATTTCGATGAAGAAATAACTGGGAATCATATAATGGCACACATGCGCATTCTTTTTTCATCGCAATTGTTAAATTCAACAAAGAATGATGCTGTCGACATAACGATAACAAGATACAGCACAATACAAATTTGCATAAATCGATGCCAATGGAACATCTGCTGCACTCTTCTATTGCCTAAAGCAAGATACGGATTTGCGTCCATTGTTGCACACATGAAAAACATTTCATTTTTGAACTTCTTAATCCAATGCATAACGGCGAAAGTAATTGAGAGGGATAACAGGTACGCAATGTTTAGGCAGATGTCTTTAAGATGTCCACCGTCGTAGATATGCTTGATCATATGATTCATACAACCGAAAGTATAGGTCATAGTAAATATGTAGAAAAATACATGAAAAAGGGTTCTTTTGTGCCAATAAAGCACTTGAAATATTTGCACGGCCGTAAAACTTTTAGATGCACTAAGTATCTTCTTCATTATTTCAATGTCGATACTTTACTATCTAATGTGAACACGATTCTTCTGAATGTGACTTAATGTTACCGGATTATTAATGGTTTATTTATTTGATTACAATGCCGTTTATTAATCAGAACGGGACTAATGTATTTCTGACTATTCAACGATGGAAACATTTAACGGCATTTAAGTTTGTATGTAATGGTAGCTAATAACATGCCGGTGAGATGAATATTGATGTGTATTTCTATACTTTTATTTGATGAAAACTTATTTATTTATTTAAACTTTTTTTAACCAGTTGTTACTTACGCGCGCGATCTAATCGAAGCCGAAAAATTTTTTTCAGATGTTATACATTTTATATGTGTAAAAACATCAATCCCATACAACAAATAACTGCTTTTATTAAAAGGCAGTATTAGTTCTTTCTATTTGGATTTAAGTATACCATCAAAAATGAATAAGCCAATTTAAAAATCTACAATAAAGTTTTGTTCTTAATAATACTGTCAATGATGTGGGGTTAACATCAAGTTAGCCGCTTGATACATTCATACATTAAGTGCAGTTTCATGAGAGTAAGCAGCATAATCCCCAAGCGGTACAATAAATCTTCTGGTAGAATTTATATTCATTAGCATTAGAAATTTTACGGTAGTTACATCTCCATCCCAAGGGCATGCGTAAAAAGTATAGATGCGTAATAATTCTCCCTAAAAAAAACCTTGTTTATATACGAGTATTCAAGATTATAATAATTATGTAGCACACAATATTTTTAATTCTTTCACCAATTGTTCCGAATATTAATGTTGCAAAAACACTGCTAATCACAACGGCAAAGGTTATAATATCAAATCGCTGCAACAAAATAAAAATTTAAAAAAATCATTTTGGTTTTAAATATTTAAAAAGGTATTAAATACTTACCTCTAAGCATGCTATTGTAGATAAAGCCAATGCTGCCCCACTTACAAGCACCTGCCATAACATCGGCCATTTAAAGCATTCCATGACCACAAGCCATATACTATTAATCAAATATATTAACTGGGTTTTAGGAAAACATAAACAAATCCTACCGCATCATATACATGTGTTGCTTATAGGCTGATATAAGCTTACGTTGACGTATTCTTTTATTCCGCATCAAACGGATATCATCTAGCGTTGATTTAAAGATCTTGACAAATATCTCCATGTATACAGTGATGCTGTACAATAAAATTACACATACACCACCACTAACTGAATGATACGCCATACAAAGAATCGTACACACGTTGTAAATCATGCGATATGTTTTTTGGATCTCGATGAAGAAATAACTTGGAATCAAATAATGGCACGCAAATGGATTGGCTTCTTCATCGCACTGCTGAATTTCTACGTAACACAATCCTGCCACTGCCAAAAACGCAGTATAAATCAAGTGGCTGATTTGTAAGAAGTGATCTCGATTAAGCATT